TAGATGTGGGCAGCATGCAGTGTTTTAAAGGACTTTAACAGATTGTGGACATTTGCAAACTGCCTTCCTTTCTACTCCACGGCTTGCCTTGAACCAAAAGAACCATCTGATCGCTCTGCACAGTGATCATTGCCTGTTGAAGTCTTGGTGTGCAGATTCCTAGCTGCTCGTTCTTTTTATAAATGGTAGAATGAGGATGTGGGGAGCCTGAAAAGGTGAGGGGGCCGAATGTAAATGATCACAGGAGCAGAGGTAGAATGAACTCCGGTCCTGGTGTCAGGAGACCTGGGTCAACTGGGGTCCTTCTCTGGGACTCTGTCGTCTCTTAACGTCTCTGAGCTTTGCATAGCAGCGAGATGGGAAGTACCACCACCCCAGGGCTGCTGACCTGGAGCCTGGGGAAGTCTCTAGTGGACTCTAAAACATGATGCAGATGATTAATACTTGTGTGGCTAATGTGCTTCCAGCAGGCGTGTGGGCAGCAGCTGGAGTATGGAAGGAAGACGTAAAAGATGGCGGTCTCTTTCCATGGGGCTGGGATTATATCGCTGGGTGCTGTCCTTGCATAGATAGGCCTGTGAGGACTGGCCTGAGTCTGGCTCAACACGCTGGTCAGATTCTGGCTCTGCTCCTTCTAGCTCTGTATACACACTTGGCCTGGACAGAATGCGGGATTGGAAACACGCATCTGATCTTTCTTGTTGGTAACCTGGTGCCTCTCATATGGTGCTTCTCTTGCTATGGTGAGTATGGTTCCAGGTTCCAGGATTAAAGATACATAACCTTTGCACAGTGCTCCTGAAGACAAGCCTCTAGCCTGTTGCTTCACCTGTTCCTGTGCTGGAGCCCAAGGGAATTATGGTATGTCCTTCACTACGTTGGCACACTTCAGGGGTTATTACGCTTATGCCTGATCCTGACCTCTCCCCATTGACGTTAGAACTTCACCCCACGTTAGAGGCAGCACCCCTGTGACTGTATCATCAGGTTGTCATGAGGCTGAGTGTCCAGCTCAGGTGCCTGGTGCCGGGTCAAGGCTCAGGGTGCTGCTGCTGTGTCGGCTTGGCCAGATCAGGCCAGGCGGCAGAGAGTGACTCAGTCCCCAACATCTTCCTGCTCTGTGTTCCCCCAGGCCTGGTTCCTTTTTCTTTTCTTTTCTTTTTTCCTCTTTTTTTTTTTTTTTTTCTTTGTGAAATTCTCATCCCTCAGTTCTGGACTTTCATGTGCCATTGGTTTCAAAACATTCTGAAAAAAATACAGAGGGGAGAAGGGAGAAAAAAGAAACCGAGAAGCCCAACTTTGTTCTGGCTGCTAAGCTGCTCCAGAGACTCCTTGGCTTGGCTTCAAGTGCTTTTTAAAAAACTTCCTTTTAAGTAGGCCCCAGACATGATTTTGTTTTTGACCATCTTTTTGACTACCTTGGCCTCTGATTAATTAACCAATTAACTGATCATTCAATACCTACTCTGTGCCAAACACTGTTTATGAGCAGGGGATGTTGATGTAACCCAAACAGACCAAGTCCCCCCTTTTCATGGAGCTTACATGTGATGAGAATGGGAGGCTCAGGGCTGTGAAGGGAAGTGAAATGGGATAAGGGGATACAGTGTGATGGGGGCAGGTGCTATTTTTACATATGGTGGTCAGGGACTGGGCGAGGTCACCGTCATGTTGGATCCATGACACTGGCCAGATGGTGCATGTGTCCAGTCTTGGCAGATATGCAAGGCATATCATTGCCTGCCTACCTCACTGGCCTTGGATTTGCATCTGGCCAGAGTGACCAAGGACCAGTCACTGAGCTGTTCCAAACCTTGTGTGGAAATCTCTCAGAATGCCAAATGGTGAAGATCGTCACTGGTGAGTTTGTACATGAGATCTGCCCTTGATAGCCATGTGGTGGGCCGTACCACTGGTGGTGGCCCAGTTGCTGTTGGTCGGCAGATACAGAGCATGCAGCTTATACTAGCCAGCTGAGTATTCAACAAATACTTACTAAAAGGCTTGTCTCCAAGGCCAGTTGGGGCATGTGCGAAGCAGGGACTTGGGACGATTTCTCAGTCTGAGCTCCAAGGTGCCAACACTGTTGACAGTGGCTAAGAGAAGCCCTTCTTGCTTGGTAAGAAAGCATCCCATAAACTTGGCCCCAGTCTTACTTTTCCTCTCCTTCAGCCCATCATGTCTGCTGCTGGGCATTGGCTTGGACCTACACGTTGGCCTTCCCCTCAAGATGGCATGTGAGAGGGATGTGCTCAGTTGGGAAGAACTTGGCTGTATAGGCAAAGACTTGAGCTAGAAAAAGAACAAATGGTCATTCATTTGGTGCTTCCTATTAACCAAGGCCTTTTTTTTTTTTTCTACTTTCTTAAAGGAAAATTCTAAGAAAGGAAGATTCTCAGGCCTTCCTTAGAATTTGGACCTCAGTTTCACATTATAGGATCTTTTTTCTTGGGTTTCAATTAAGGGCTTACATAACGTAGATATGAAAGCGTAATATAGATATTAGTAACTGTTGCTATTGTTGCATTAATAGTAACAACCTCTGTTCTTCGGATCCCTATTGATTCATCTTGTTTTTTTTTTTTTTAAGATTTATTTGTTTATTTTAGAGAGAGCGAGCGAGCACAGGGGGGAGGAGCAGAGGGAGAGAGAGGGAGAGAGAATCTCAAGCCAGCTCTGTGCTGAGCGTGGAGCCCATTGCGGGGCTCGATCTCACAACTCTGAGATCATGACCTGAGCTAAAACCAAGAGTCGGACACTTAACTGACTGCACCACCCAGGCACCCCTCATCTAATTTTTATATAACAAATTGTTAGAATAGTGCCTGGCACATGTGCATATTCACTCATTTAATCCTCATGGCAGCCCTAGAAGGTGGGTACTGTTATCTTGCCCATTTTGGAGATGAGAACATAGGCATAGAGGTTAAACAAGGTCACCCAAGCAGCAAGTGGTAGAGCCAGGATTTGAACCAGGGGAGCGTGGCCCCAGGGTGTCGGCTCTTAAAAATCATACCCCAAGTCCTATTGGTTTTCCCACAAAACCTTTCCTGAGCAGTAACGATGCTGATGGTCGTGCCAACAATTGTTGCTCTTTATATGCTGTGCACCATGTCCTGTATTTCAGATGCAGGGTAAAAATCTTCGTCCCACACTGTTTTCAAAGCCTGTTTCCCAGAGGAGGAAGTGAAGGCTCTGAGCATTTGGGTAACTGCTCACAGCCTGAGGACCGAAGCCAGGATGCCAACTCTGGTCTGTCTGGCTTCCGAACTCTGTTTTCTCAGCACGTCAGCTGTCCTGTAAAGGCCATAACACTCCCCTTCCCTGATGACTCATGGTACCTGGCGACCTTCTCTCACACTCACGTCATGGCCCGTGGCACCTGGTTGGGCCACAGAACAGGACAGTGGCCCATGTTTCTCCAGGCCTGAATCCAAGGCCACGGGAGCCACTCCAGGGAGGCCAGGCGGCAGAGCTTGGATTGGAAAACTGTTAATCCAGCCGGGCCCCTCCACGTCCCTCACTGCAATTTATTAAGCCCGGGGTTTCCCCAGAGCACCCACATCTGCTCTATGTGAGGACACGAGGCTAACGTCCACACACGGTCATGAGCAAGCGTCTAGCCTCTGGTCAGCATCGGGATGAGCAGTTTCCAGTGAAGTGCCTGGGCCTGGCAAACCCTTGGGAAGGGTGGGGACCATCTGTGCTGTCCTGTAAAGGAAATTGTGGTTTCTTTCTTTCCTTTTTTTCTTTCTTTCTTTTTTTTTTTTCTTTTTTAGTTTATGGGAAAGGGAGACTTGTGTCTCAATCGAGTCTTTGTGGCGTTGTATTACAGAGAGTCACAGAAAATGTTCTATGTAAATGACTGTGTGCCCTGATTAGAGCCTCAATAGGTGCCATTGTGTCATATTGCTATTATTGGCGATTGCAAGATACTAAATGATATTCTCATCAGGCTGAAAAAGCTCAGTGTTAGCAGCGAAACTCGGGGTTAATTATACTGCTCTGAATTAGAGCATAGAATTAAGTTGTAGGGAGAGCAGGGCTCTTGCTTTCTCTCCCTCTGTCTTTTCAGGGTTTGTCGCTGGGGGTTTGATCAAGTACCTTTTAACCCATGTTCTAAATTTGTACTTACTGGCATTTTGCTCTGCATGAGTTACTACCCCTTTTGGCGTTGGGAAACACAGGACCAATTTATAGGACAGTTGGAGAGGGGAGAAATGGTCTACTTAGTGCATTCTTCCTAGTCAATAGCTGGGGTAAAAAATAGCATGAAGATTTAAGTCTTTGGGGAGTGCTGGACTCTCTGGAGGGGCCTCTTTAATTTAGCTCTTCTTGTCTCTTCTGCCTTTGAATTATCGGCTACTGTGATCCTGACTTACCTCTTTGAAGAAATGACACACTGACCTACATCTTGGCTGAAACCGATAGAAGAGTCTATCTCTACTCTGCCCCTTCTTGGCATTCCTAACACAGCCTCCGCGGGAGTGTGTCTGGGGGCTGAGGCAGGCCCTCTCCGGTTTCATGCCATTAACTGCTCTGCCTTGTTTTAATCACAGAGTTTTGCTGCTTTTGAGACATCCCTGATTGTAAACTTCCTGCCTTCCTCTTGCTCATTCTTCTGCTTGTAAATTTCATGTCCCTCGTATAGGGTCTAAAGCCACATCTTCCCCTGTTGAACGTTACGTGGGCTGTGACTATAATTATTATAAAAAAACCCCAAAAAGTGATTTTTAGCAGTGCCCTTACAGTTTATCATTCCTTATTTAACCACTTCACCATTTTTGGATGTTTAGGTTGATGATTCTTTTTTTTTTTTTTTTTCCTTTTGCGATTGTAAGTCACATTATGTTGGCAATTAGCCTAGGACAGATTCCTAGAAATGAGTTTACTGAGAACATGAACTCAGAAGTAGAGACAGGATTTAAACCCAGATCTTTCTGCCCTCAAATCCCGTGCTGCCGCTTCTCTGATTAGCTCTCTCGTCTTCTACCCGTCAGAACTCCAGAGTCCTCTGTGAGAAACCCGGCACTCACTGCCCTCCGTGAGCAAACTGCTTCACGCCTGGTGGTCCAGGGTGACTTAGAGCCTTCTTTTTCTCCTCCATCTTCTTTCCTTGATTTGTCAGTGGTGAACCGTTCCCTGGCGCAGCACCGGGTAAGCCGACTCGCATCGCAGAGTCCTCTCCTTTACCTGGCGTGAGCACAGCACGTGCAAGTATCACATGTGAGAACATAGCACGCTGTTAAAAAAAATTGCATTTCAAATTGCGTTTAATAGGTTTGGTGACCAGAATGAATGTTATGGAATCCTTTTAATTCAGGCCTCTTGCAGAGTGCCTCATTGTTCCTATTTGGAAACATCAGTTACCAGTCTCAGTCAGGATAGTAACATTTTTTCCTATATTTGCAATATATAAAAGAGACTTTCCTAAGCAGCGCCCTGATCAACACAACTGTCTTTTCTACACTGCACACTCTTTTTTTTTTTTTTTTTTTAAATATTGTATTTCATATTTGACAGAAAAAGAGCACACAAGCAGAGGGAGAAACAGGCTCCCGCTTAGCAGGGAGCCCGATGCGGGGCCCGATCCCAGGACCCTGGGATCATGACCTGAGCCGAAGGCAGATGCCTAACTGTCTGAGCCACCCAGGCACCCTGACACTCTCTCCCAACCAGGACAGACTTGGGGGGGATGCGGTGGAGGCCCTTTGGTTCAACAGGCTGGGAAAAGCTCCCATTCTAAGGAGATTCCCGAAACCCTTCGAACTCTTGAGGGCTCAGATCCATGCTGTGGTCAGGAAGCCCGTTTGATTCTGTGGAAGCCGGTTTACCCCACATTACACCTGTTGATGTTCTATGTAAGGAGCAGCATGTGGAACGATGCTGAGCTAAGGATCAAAGTCCTGGCTCCTAGCTTTTAAACCCTACATGATGGACGGCCCCGTACCCGCTCTCCCCTTTTCATTTCGCGTTCTTTCTGGCCTCTCTGAGTCCTCATAGATCATCGTCTCTGCCTGGAGTGCTCTTCCCCTGATCTCCACGTGCCTGCATTTGACCCCTTTTGCAGGGCTCAGTCCAGACATCTTCTCTCTGTGCTTTATCAGTATGCATTCTCCATGTAACTGGCCCTTGGCCTCCCGTAGTCTTACAGCCGCTCCCTGTACCTGCCGCCTGGCACGATTTCCTGTGTGGTATTACAGATATTTGTATACATGTCTTTTTGATTGATTCATCTCCTTGAAAACAAGAGCAGTCCTCCTGGCTTGCTGCAGTGTGGGCTGTCACATTGGCTTGTACATAGTCAGCGCCTGTAAATGCTGGCGGAATGGGTGTTCATGGTGTCAGTAAATACTTCAGTGGAGGGAGGGCCTGGCAACGGCATCGACAGTGGCCATGTTCCCACGGCAGTTTCTACCCTGACCTCAAGCAGGTCGCTGCGGGAGACACAGACTCTGCCTCCTATTCCATTCAGCTTCTCTGGGGAGGGCAGCTTTGCTTCTGATTTTTTCTGATGAGTTGCCTGCAGGTTTCAGCTGTAAGACTGCTGGTGATGGCCTTTACTTTTTTGAGCACTTACTATGTGCTAACTGCTCTATGCACGTTTTCCCTTTAATCCTTATCTACCCAGTGAGTTAGGTTCTGCTGTTCAGGCAGGGTCAAAAACTGCGGCCCAAAGAGGTTAAAAGACTGGCTCAAGCAAGGTCATGTGGTAAATGGCAGTGCTGGGGATTACACTTAGGTTTGACTCTGGAATCATTACATCACATTGGTGTGTGGCCTTCTGCCATGGTGCGTGTGCGTGGGGTGGGGGGGCATGTGTGTCCTCGTTCCCGTGCGTGGCATTTATCGATTTATTGAATTGTTCCTGGAGCCCTCCCTCCTGCTTCCCCGTTCTCTTTCTCTTTCGGAATAACATCATCTGACACCATGTCTTTTTCTGTCCTGGACACGGTATTTGTGGATTTCAGTGTGGTTAATTTGCGCAGTTTTACGAGCTTTCTGAATTCTGTTTTCCCTCACCCCTCTTATTTTTGAAGCCTTACTGAGAAACTGGCTGATGGGAGGCTAATGGGCTTCCAGCGACGAGCTGGACATTCAAAGTGAAGTGTCTCCCTCAGTCTGCTTTTCGCCCTTTTTTGGCATAACCGATGCATCCTGTCCCTGAGACTCTCTAAATCTCAGGTTTGTTTGGCTTGGAGACACTGCAGGTACGCATTGCTTCTTAACTGCGCTTCGCAGATAACACAGGCTTTGCTAAACAACACAGCACCGGGAACTCCATCTCTGGACTCCCAGAGATGCTGGGTGCGTGTGTGTGCACGCCTAGTGAGATGTAAACATTTACAGGGAATAAAAGAAATTCCTTCCCCAGAGCCAAAATTTGGATATTCTCCTTATGTACACAGCTTTGACAGTGATTCCATATGTTTTGTTCATCTTTGCTTTTTTTTTTTGCAGCCTCTAGAAATTTATTTCCCATATGCTACCACTGACAGGAGAGATGTTTCCAAAATGCATGTCATCCTATGGCTAAAAATCCTGCTTTGGCCCTTGGAGCCCTCAGGGTGATTGGCCCATTGGCTTCTTGTTTTATGTTCTTCACCTGTCTTTGCTCCAGCCATAGTGACCTTCACATTGTCCCTGCACGTGTGTGGCTTTCTCTCTCTTCTGTAGGCCTTCCAGGCTGACGGCACCCTCTGTGTGTGTGTCACCTTTCTCCTCCACCTGGCTAATTCCTGTTGGCTGCTTCTGAAATCTGCGTTTAATCAGATCCATCCTGGGATCACCCTTCTGTTGCGTCTCTTGGCTCACTGTGCTCTGTTTCATTTCTCTGTTTCTCCTTCAGCCAGACCACTCACTCTACCTCCCAACTCAGTGCCTAGCATACAGTAGGAGCTCAGTAACTATTGAATGAAGGATTAGTCATATGTGCTCATTTCCTGTGAAAATGCAGGGCTGTGGAAAATCTGAGCTTTTCTCGTTCCTTGTGCGTAATAACTAACAGGTTTGCATAATAACGATCACACCTACTACCATTTATCAAGTGCATTCTGTGTGCTTTCTACAGTTTAGTGCTATCCCTGTCATGCTCACATGTACCTGGTGTTATCACTAATGTCATCCCGAGAAGGAAGAAACTGGCCTTCTGTTTGTTTCTTATTTCAGATGGCTTTGCTTCAGAGCAGACAATGGCTTCTGAGCATTTCAAGGTATTTACTGGACTTAAAGCTGAAAGGCATCACCACTGAGACTCAGGGAACTGTTGTGATGGTATTTTAAGCAGAATTTTAGGTGCTTAGGTCTGGAGAAGTTGCCAGCTGCCAAACTCTTGAGTGCAAAGATGGAGAGAGAGAAGGGGGTGGAGCTTTCTTAAATCGTTTACATTTATGTGAAGGCCAAGTTGGACTTGTTTATTGATCCCATAAAGATACTATGCTATGTTCTTGAATGATTCAGAGCCTAATATCCGTATTAGAGTGAGTTCACCTTTTGTGAGGGACACTGGGGGTGGCATGGGGCATTGCAGAGCTGGGGACTGTTAGGGGGTGTCTTTAGTGTCTTCTTGGTCATATGAATTTTATCCACCCAGTAGAACATCACTGAGGCTCTGAATAGTCAAAGAAAACATCTCTCTTATGTTTTCCTCATGAATAGAACACTCTGTGTCCTGAATTGTTGCTCTGCTGGGGCCAGCACGTGGTGTATTTTCCTAACGTTTGAACCAATAGGCTGTTTTGTTTTGGGGCAATCCAGGTAAAGATTTTCTGGTGCTCCTGTGTGGCAAGGAAAGCCTGTCTTTTCTTCTCTCTTTTTCTCCCTTTCCCTTCTGTCCCTGAGTTTGAAAAAAGCATACTTTGAGTTACATGACTAATTTTAGCATATTTACTAGAAATTAATGTTCTGCCAATGATTGGAAATTCTTTCCTCTCCTCCTTTCTCCGAAGTCAAAACAGCTCTGTGGATTGGGACTGGGGGTATTCAGAACCAGAGGACAACGGCTCAGCACACTGGGGACATTTGCACGAATAAATCTATAGCCCTGGGCTCTGACTCTCTTTTGTCTATTGGGTGTGTGTGTGTGTGTGTGTGTGTGTAGAGAGACACACAGAGACACACACACACAGATTGATTGATTGATTGGAGGAGGCTTTTTTTTTTAATAATTTTTTTATTGTTATGTTAACCACCATACATTACATCATTAGTTTTTGATGCAGTGTTCCATGATTCATTGTTTGTGCATAACACCCAGTGCTCCACACAGAATGTGCCCTCTTTAATACCCATCACCAGGCTAACCCATCCCCCCACCCCCCTCCCCTCTAGAACCCTCAGTTTGTTTCTCAGAGTCCATCGTCTCTAATGGTTCGTCTCCCCCTCCGACTTACTCCCCTTCATTCTTCCCCTCCTGCTATCTTCTTCTTCTTTTTTTCTTAACATATATTGCATTATTTGTTTCAGAAGTACAGATCCGTGATTCCTCAGTCTTGTACAATTCACAGTACTCAGGATGGTTGTGTGTGATTATTGGCACCACTCTGATGTCTATCACCCAGCCACCCAATCCCTCCCACCCCCCACCACTCCAGCAACCCTCAGTTTGTTTCCTGAGATTAAGAATTCTGGAGGAGGCTTTTGCACAGAGAAGAATAGGGCTTTCTGAAACGTGGCATCCAAAGCGACCCCAAAGAGACATCCTAGATAATCATGTTTTCCAGCCCTTGAATTAGGCTCGAGGTCTGATAAAAGGTTTTCTTATTATTTGTGACTCTGTTAATATGAGAAGTCTTTAAAAGCTATACAATGTGGCTGGTAGACCGCCTTATGAAAAAAATACGCTACAGAGTGGGCATTGACCTGTGAGATCTGGAACCTGGTACGTGTGCAGACGACGGTTTTCTCAGTCTTTATCAGCTCCGTTTTGGGCGGAACCTTCTCTTCGAGCCCTGATACTCATAAACGGGATCACATTGAGTCTGCGCAGAACCACACCCATTAGACCAGAGAGACCTTGGCAGAGACCCGGGGAGACCAGCACCGCGGACCAGAGGACTGTGAGAGCTGAGCATGGTCAAGTGCAGGAAAGCAGC